TTTTATGGAAAAAAAGAATTTTTCATAAAAAACTGATAGAGTTATAATAATCAATAACAAAGTGTAGAATGAATAAAATTAACATAAATAAAGTAAAATTATTACTGCTACTACTAGCGTAGCATTTTTTAATTTACTGATTTCCTTTTATGCGCTGATTATACTAATTGTGTAAGTATTCTATGTAAATACGTGGTAGAGCTACGCTGCAGCTATATTATGGTTGTAGCACGAGTGGGTCTGCTCGACCAGGAAGGACCACGCTCTCACAGAATACCAGCTTAAAATACCAGCTTAATACTGCTGGGTTTCGTATGGTGAGTGTAGAGATTCGGAGACCCCATTTTACTGGAAACGAGGTATTCCATCTTAGTCCTCAGGGGTGACAACGCATCTGCGTTTTGATTTTTAATCGAGGTTAAATGTAGATGTCCATGGGCCACAGCATACACTTATATACCATCAGGTGAACTGTGTGTTCGTTTGTCACCCTTATTATATAAAAAAAATTGTCGAAAGATATATTTTACAGCACGTCATTTCCGCAATAAGTTAGGGTTGTTTGTTATTACATTTTATGTAACTACTAGCTAGCTAGCTTGTAGTCTAGTAGTACTACTACTAACTAGTATCCGTCACGTTGCTACCGCAGAAGAAATATTTGCGAAAATATCGTTTTAAATTTAGAAGAGTTATATTGTTTCATTAGGAATGATAATACAATCATGGAAATTGAATGATATAGAACTTTCAAATAAATTTGTGGGTACGATGCGCACGCCACCTACAGTAAGTTAATTGTACCTACTCTTCTCTCTTCGCGCAAGTGCAAGCAATAAGTTGACAAAGTTTTATCGCAATCTGATGAACGCTATGGTAGCGCATAAAATACGAACAAACAAACATTAATTTTTATATATTATGTGTTATAAACATTTAAAAAAAGGACCGGTAGTTTAGGACTTGACAGCTTGTTAAAACAATAACCCTAGCCTTAGTCAGATAAAACTAAATATTGTCATAATTATTTTCTACTACTGCATCATGGCCGAGCTAATAAAGAAAACATATTTTAAATGAATACACAAAATTTTATAATGTATTAAAGAGAAGCCACACAATGGGTGCGTTTGGCAGAAAAAAGCGCTAGCAAGCGCTTGTAAGCAAAATGGCGATCGTAAGCGGTAAGCGCTGTCAAATCGTAAGTAGCTATTTTCCTCCAGGACACGATGGTAGTTTTAACCGGGGAATCTAACCTAATTTAAATATATGTTTGTAACGTATTCATATTAAAAACTTACCAATCATGAGTTTTTAATAGCATGTATAGGTATGTTTATTCATGTCATTATATTACTTAAAACTAATATTGCACAAAACAACTTATAAACTCTACTTCAAAACAAACAAATTAAATAAGCAAAATGGCGGATTGTGTCAGCGCTACTGATGTTAGCAAACGTGTCCTGGCCGAAAACTGTTTAGTTTCGCCATTTTGCTTACAAGCGCTTGCTAGCGCTTTTTTCTGCCAAACGCACTCAATATATAGTGGCGGCTTGGTCATTACAGCACTAGTCGCTACGCCTTGTAGATAATAAATTACTTGACCTGGCACTAAGAGCGTTATGTTGGTTGCTTTGCCGCTCCGGCGTCGCATCGCACGATGTGTCATGTTAGGGATTTTTATACTTATTCTTTACGTGTTTGAGCCACGCTGCAGCTATTTTAGTTGTAGTACAAACGGGTCGGCTCGACCGGGGTTCGACCACGCCCTCACAAAATATCAGCGTAAAATAGCAGCTTAAAGCTGATATGTTTCGTATAGCGCATGACATCTTAGTCCTCAGGTCCTCACCCTTATTCTATAAAAATACGTGTGACTCCGCAATTGCACTGTATAAACATGGCCTTATAAGTGACGAACGTGCACCAGTTTGGTTTATTCGGCGTGCACGATAAGCTCACGCTCTCAACAATACGGTCGTTCAAAATATAATATAGTGAGTGAATGCCGCTACGCCGCATGCCTTACAAGTTGCGTGCTCCTTACTGAGTTTCTACAATGAAATTCAATATTCGAAAATATTACAATAACAACGTTTTGTTACGTGGTATAGCCATGCTGCAGCCATATTAATTGTATAGTTATAGCACGAATGGGTCGGCTCGACCGGGGAAGGATCACGCTCTCACAGAATATCAGCGTTAAATAGCAGCTTAATGCTGCTATGTTTCGTATGGTGAGTGTAGAAAACCGGAGACCCTTTTTACTGGAAAAGAGACATTCCATTTTAGTCCTCAAGGCTGACAACGCATCTTCATTTTGATTCGCAAACGAGGATAGATGCAGATGTCTATGGGCTACAGCAACCACTTACCATCAAGTGGACTCTGTGCTCGCTTGTCACCCTTTTCCTATAAAAAATATTATAATATTTTTTTATGCCTTTGTTAGAAAAAAATTAAAACTCTTATCTGGTTAGGAGTAATACGCGACCAGACGGTAAGTGATCCTCAGAAGGAAGAAAGGAATAAAGTGTTTTCACACTTCAAATTTAAAGAATTCCGCAAGCTACAACTTTCGGCAGTTCATAAGGTGATATTAAATACCTAAAACCGCCTGGAGGAAGTTAAATATCCTTCTAAATGTTTGGCTTTACTTTTTACGCCCAGAGGTTTTACTACTTTACATTTTTTATTAAGACGCAAGTAGGTAGGTCATGGAGATCTGTTATATATAGGCTGGTGTTGCGAATTGCATAATTAATTAATTACAGTTTTTGTATGTAGCCGAGTTAAGATAGCTTATTAGTGATCTATATTTAGTTAAAAAGAATCTTGTCAATCCCGAAGCAAAAGCAGCCATTCAATTCTACAGATTAACCCTTAATAATGGCAGGCTGTCGAATTTTTTTCGAAAAGTATATCCTGGGAAATATGGGCGAAGGTGAGTGGACTCCTTTTTATGGTAAATAAGCATGCTCGTTTTGGTGACGATGAAACGCACAATATGGATGATAGCGTCTCATTCGGTGATTGCCTACAAGAAGAGATTTATGTGCGCTGCTATGGATTTTTAACGGACTGAATTACCTGCTTTGCCCGAGCACTCGGTTTGATCTTTTTCTACAGTTTCTCTGGCACAGATATCGAGCATAAACAGGCAATCAATGTGTAGCAAGAAAATACTTTATTAAATCCTATAAGCCGTGGTAGCTCAGTGGTTAACGCTCGCTGTAAATATAACAGAACGCGAGTAACCCGGGTTCGATCCCCGCCGGCACCAATGAAATTGTTAATTGCAATTTTAAGTGCTGATTTACCACGTGCTCGGCGGTGAAGGAAAACATCGTGAGGAAACCTGCATGTCTGAGGAATAAGAAAAAAAAATATTTTCGAAGACATGTGAAGTTCGTCAACACGCATTTGGGCAGCGCGGCGGACACTTCCTTGCCTTAAACCCTCTCAGAAATGAGGGGAGGCCTGAGCCCAGCAGTGGGACGTATATAGGCTGTAACTTTACTTTTTTTAACTTTAAATCCTATATTATGGGTTTTTTAATTATCTATTTGAATGCTATAAAAATAAATCAATTAATACCTACTTAAAATTTTGAAATGTTTACTTACAAAACATTAACGTTTTATTACTTGTAAATTTTTTTTTGTTAAAATAACCGGTGTTAAAATAACCGGAAACCACAAGATCGAGATTGTTACAAATTAAAGAGCTACTACAATGAAAGTATATTTACGATCAAAGGCTCGATTGAAAAGCCACTTTCATGCACGGCAGTTGCATTTTGGCCGGGACCTTCCGGCGATTCCTTTTCCCTGTAATTATAAATAAAAACCCAGCACTGATAGCGTCGCTATTGTATATTAAATAAAAAGGTAACACAAGTGTTCTCGCAATTATTGCTTTGTATTAACCCTTACAGAAGTCCATTCGTAAGTAGACTCTAATTCCGATATAATTCTCAGCGATTATTGCAACAGATTGCATGTGAATGACGCCATACGACGACTAGACTTTTAAACTTTTTTTTAACTTTTTTTTGTACTATAATTATCTGAGCGTTTTTATTAACGCCTGCTTGTTCATATGCAACGGATCAATAAGAAAAACATATATAAAGAAGTTTACGTGTATTTTAATATAGAACCTGTAATAGGGTTTAAAATGATGTCTTTATTCTTCGACTTAATTAGAATGGAGCGTAGCGTTATAGCAACTATTAGAATGCTAAGCATGATCATCTAGAAACGCGATTAATTAAGAAAAGAGTCATTACTGTCCTTGTCTCGAAATTTCCGCAGTACATTATATGTGTGAGAAGGAGAAAGATATACATTAAAACCTCCGTTGCGAAGAAACGACAAAAGATCACCTGTGCTCACTACCGTAATTCTACCACCAGGCGGTAGAGCACCTGTCCCTTTCATACGGTTCAAGCTTAAGCTGAACCAAACGAGTGTGAGTAGGAGTAGTTCCAAACTAATGCGTACGTAAAACATCATATGCGCATTAAAACCATCGAAAGAAAATAGCTTTTACTGCTATAGCAATAAGCACACAAATATAACTTAACATACAAGAACAGGACGGAAGCCTACAAATGAATCGAGCGCTCTTTAGTTTTGACGCGTTCGGAAATCGAATTAAGAACGTTAGAGTGAGAGGTGCATGGAGGTTCGATACAGTGGAGGCAGTTTTTTGTTATTGTTCGACGGCGGTGATTTTTTCCAAGGCGTGCTAATGGGAGTAGGCGCGCGAGTGGGCGCGCCAGCACAGCAAGCGCGCTCTTCAGTGTTCTGGCTGAGCTTCGAGCGAGCGCGTGCTAGACGAGTGCCGTCCGTCATAAGTCATATTAATCTGAAGCGTTAAATAAAAAAAATAACTGGGGCCTTGGTTACCGTGAACTATATCAGTATTGAAGTGGACTGTTCATTGCGTATGATTAGATCAAGTAGTTCAGAGACAGTGGACGGAACTCTACCATGTTGATATCTGCGGGCAGCGGCCCTACGCCTGAGTTTTCGCCTGCTTCGTGCTGCGCCCCCTGGAAAATGGAGCCGGCGCCCCCAGTACCCGCGGCTATCACACAACCGCTTAATATATCACCGAACGGTTAGTTTAAAAATCACGTACATTTATAAGATACAACACGCATAGTAATAAAATGAGATTTGTAAAATTAACAGCAACAATGTTTTTTTTTCAATTATCTTTCAGTTTTAATTAGGTTATCCTCATTTAGATTTTAAATTTTATAGAAAAAAAAATAAAGTAAGATTAAGTTAAATTAAAATAAATATTACTCAATTATTTAAATAACTCTCTGTTTTATCGAATTGAAAATTACTGTAAGTTCTTTGTTTATATTTATACTTATAACGTTAACCCGGTTAATTCAAAAAATCAAATCCCTTCAAAGTTATTTAAAAAATACTTCAATACTGAATATAATTTATGGCGTAAATATATAAAATGTAATATACTTCTATATATTTTCTTAAAAAATATGTGTAAAACACGTGCGATTCCAACGCGAATTATCTACAGATTTCTTATATTATTATTAAGGTTAAAAGTTAATGTTACTACTATAATATATAACATATTACTATATATAAGAGTAAGCACCTAGGTTTAAGAAGGCAAACATTTTAAATCCATAACGATATAAATTTGAGACAATTTTTAGTTTTAAAAACTTATACCGTAGGTAGGTATATTTAAATAAACTTCACACTGAACAAATTTTAAAAATTTGTTCAGTGTGAAGTTAAAGAATAACTTTTGCGGTTACCCGAAAACAGCCTAGGTCACTCCTCAAATTGTTCTCTACATGTGAGCGTACTAGGCTTAGTTTTAAGACTGCCAAAAAAAGTTTATTCATGTCTAAATAGTACGCGCATAACCCCCTCTCTGCTCAAAATCAAGCAGTTATTTCGATATTTTAAACACTTCAATTGTATTTATATGTAGGTATAGATTACAGGCAAACAATTGAATTTTATCTAGTTGAAGTTAATTTTTAGTATAAATTAACTTGTTTATACTGGTAATATAATAACTTTTAACTTTATGGAATAAAGTCGACAAATAGGTATAATTTTCAATTGTCCCAATTATACTCAGGTAAAGTTTATATATATATATACATACACATATATATATATATATATATATATATTTTATATATATATATATATATATGTTAATGTACATGTGGTTTTATTACGAAATAACTGAATATGAATATGAGCAATGTCCTAGTCCAATTCGTAGAAAAAAATTAAAATTTAAAACGACATAGGACTTTTAAAGAGAAGAAAATTATGTCGCAAAGGAAATTAACAGAAACCTATATTAATTTACTATTATTATTACCAATGGAGATAGATTTTTTCTGCTAATCTCCTCTTAGAAGATTTTTGTTTATACTGCAATTTTCATACATTCATTTCTGTCTCCCTTAGGTTGCCTCACGTATTAAGTACAGTTTCCACGCTCCGCGGGCGGGTTGACAACCGCAGTTTTTAATTATTTTGAGTTATTTTCAGGAAGATGTTTTGCTTCAGTTTCCATCTGTTCTTACGATACCCGCGGGATGATAAGGGATAGGAGATTTTTTTACGACGTCACTACACGAAATTTTACCAGTCATAAGACTTGTTAATACCGGCGGTAATAGCGAAAACCTATTAATTTTAAACCAACTTTTAAAAAGGTGGAGGGAATGTTAAATAGGTAATGTTTAACAGGTAACCTACCTCTACAGAGAGAGAGTTGGTATTCTTTCGCATGAGTTCTATATAAATATTCAACGATCTAAATAATATATCGAAATATACATATGCATAAATATCTGATGGTGACTGAATTCAGTAGATATTCTTTGATTAATTTAATCATTTGATTTACACCGTAAATAAACAAATGAATTAAGTCATATGGAAACCTAAATTTGTTTATGCTACGAATTTATATAACATGATAATATTATGTTTCACGACTCAATAACGACTTAGCTAATTTAAGTTTACTATCGCTATGAACAATTATTTGACTGTAGTTTAACGGTGCAACTTTATATTCATGACGGATCAAGAATTTTTATGTTCTATAAATAATTGTTCGTGATCTACATAAGAAAGGTAATAGATATAGATCAAAAGTATACAAAATAAAGTCCAGAGCATTGAAGGCTTGGTTTCATAGGTAATTTTTAACTTCATGTTTTTAACTTCCCGCTCAGAAAATTGAAAATTTTCAAAAATAGGGAAATTATTGGTTTCACCCCGATTTTCGAAAATCGAGTTTTCATCAGATCTCGACGTTTTGAGATCTCAGGAAGCTATTCTGACTAATTTCAGGTGGACGTCCGTACGGATGTATGTGTATGTGTAAGTATGTAAAATGGAAAATAAAAATCGGTTCATTTGTTCATGAGATACCATAGGAGAAAGAATTTGAAAAAACGTTTTATTTAACATAACTTCGAGATTGCACAACATAATTTGGTGAAATTTGGAGCGCTTTGCATTTGAAATTAGCGGGAAGTTGCGGCCTGTAGTGTCAACCATTTTTTTTTATAGAATTAGGGTGATAAACGAGCACGTAGTTCACCTGATGGTAAATTGATGCTGTATCGTTTATTAAGAATCAAAGTGGGTTGTCCCCCTGAGGAAAAAAATGGAATGCGTCCTGTCCACTAAAATGTGCCTCCGGTTCTCCACACTTACCATTTTTAATAGAATCTAATTCCTTCAAAGGGATACACAGTCCATATGTTGGTAAGTGGATGATGTGGCCCATAGACATCTAGATATGTCCTCGATTAAGAATCAAAATGCAGATGCGTCGAGCCGACCTATACGTGCTGCAACCACTATACAGCTGCTGCATGCCTCTATTACTATACGAAGGACAGCATCTATAACCTGCTATTTCACGCTGTTATTCTGTGAAATCGTAGTGATACACATTACAAACATAATATAACTACAGCACTGCTCTCTCTACCACATATAAAACAGTACTATTTCCGGACAGGCATTGTATAAAATGTACGGTAAATGCTTACTTTTTTCATGCACCTATCACATCTTCGTCTCGTTATTCTTCCGTTATTATTGAAAATTTTACTATTTGAAATATCAGTGATCTTGTTGTATTGCAACAGATAAAGTTGTAACCATTTTAAAATTTATTGCGTATATTACCGGATATACCACTACTATAGTACTACTACAGTAGACAACCACCTGACCGTACCATATTATATATATGCACACTCATGTGTATGCGTCTCCGGCAACTCCCATATATAAGCACTCTCTACACGAACACCTTTGAAGACACCTTACAAGGGTATCTGGGGATAACGTAAAGATATTTATATAATAGGGATGTCTGCCTCATTAGTCTAGTGGTTGTAAGCGCAGCAGTTGATCATGTAGTCCCGGGTTTGAATTCCGCGTAGTGTCAGAAACCAGTTATGGTTTTTTGTCTCAAGAAAGTCCAGAAGTAGTCCGGAGTCAGTATTTTGACATAGGTTATTTAGTCGTCTTAAAATTATATTTAGACGAAAAACTCTGTTTTGTCATTTTAAAAGAATTTTTCAAATGCCATAAAAAAGCCTTTACAATTAGTATTAACTAAGTTGAAGACCTTTCTCGTTGAAATAGTCTTAAGGGATATTAAGGGTATATTTAATAATATTATTCTAAATAAGATATTATTAATATTATTATTCTTAATAAGATATTATTAGATATTGTTGTATCTTATTGACGTCTAAAATTGGGCTAAAAACAATTTACAAAGGAAAGAGCTTACGGTACTTGATACAAATAGTATTGTTTAATACTATTATCAAAATAGAAAAACGTTTGTACCTGTTGCGGTTATATTTAATTTACAAAAATATATTAACTGAAACATGGTAGAGTCATGCTGCAGCTATATTATAGTTGTAGCACGAATGTATTTGAGAAATGTACACGCTTTGTAATCGAGTATAGATGTAGATGTCTATGGACCGCAGCAACCACTTCCCATCAGGTGGACTGTGTGCTCGTTTGGTTCCCTATCCTATAAAAAAATGGAGGTGTCCTTCTGTAATACTGAAATAAATGGCCTCTATTAAGCTCACGGGCTTGTTTACGTGCTACTAAGGCATAAACGATCATTATTAAAATATTTGTCTATCTGTGGTATACGTGTGGTTAAACGTGGTAGAGTCACCCTGCAGCTATGTAACAATTGTAGCACGAATGGGTCGGCTCGACCGGGGAAGGACCACGCTCTCACAGAATACCAGCGTAAAATAGCAGCTTAATACTGCTGTGTTTCGTATGGTGAGTGTAGAGATCCGGAGACCCCTTTTTACTGGTTTCGAGGCATTCCGTCTTAGTCCTCAGGAGTGACAACCTGCGTTTTGATTCTCAATCGAGGATAAATCGTTTTTCCTCGATTGAGAATCGCTCGTTTGTCACCCTTAATCTATTTAAAAAAATATGTCTGTCTGGTCTGCTCTTCGGGGTGGTTGAAACGATTGTGATAAAACTTTACGAATAAATAGAAAGCAGTACCAGAAGGGATCAAGGCTATATTTTATCCCAATTTTTTAACAGATGATGAAAACAGATGGTGTCAACAGATACATACCCAAGCAAAGCCGGGGCTCTAGTTAATCTAGTTAATTAGTAAAATATAAATTTAAGTTTACTATCGCTATGAACAATTATTTGAGTCTTCAGTCGAACATCAACTGTTTTAGGGTGGTAAATTAATGAAGAAAGTATATATATATATATATACTTTCCTCAATAATTTATTTACGTTAGTATTATAGCAACGATTATAGCTAATAACTATCACTTGTCAAATTATAGATTAACTGTCAAAAACGATTGTCATCACGATCACGATCGCGATTGTAATGAAGACATTTATTTGTTTTCAGTATAAGATTAAACTTTACACATTTGGTTTATTTTATTATAGCTTGTATCTAATTGCTTACCAGAAATGTTTAAACCTTAGACCAACACGGGTCACTGGCGGCCGGAGGGGAGTAGCCATACGCAGGCGTTCCCCTCTGTCAAAATATAAGTCCA